GGGGTTGGCACGGCGATGGGGGAGGAGGGTAGGTAGATCCCCGGTCGAGAGTCGCCGGGACGTCTGCCGCGGCGGCGTTGGATCATCGGGGAAAGTTGGCGACGTCAGCCAAGTCAAGGCCGCGGGAGGAGAGCGTTGCAGCGGCGTCGGTGCTCCACAACCCCTTCTTCCCTTTCCTTCCTTCCTTCCTTCCTTCCTTTCTCTCCGCCTCGCATCGTATCTTCGAGAAACAACCCCACTCTCTTCCCCGTTTCTGCTAGGGATCAGCCTGGGACCCGAGAGGGAGGGGGTTGGAAGGGGTAGGCCGTGTCTGTGCTGCAGCGACGGTCGATAGAATTGTCTGCGCACATGCGCAGCCAAAGGTTCGTCAGCTGCGCCATTGATTCCCACCCCGACCACCACCCCTCCCCCTCCCGTGTAGACTTAAAGAGGAGAGGGCGGAATAAAGGTGGCTAATTTGTGTAACGTGGCGAAGGTGGAACGCATCTATGGGTGGTGGATGTCGTCGTCGTCGGCGACTTTACCAGATTTTCCAGACGAGCCGTGAACGCGTGGCAGAAGAGGAGAGGAGAGGAGAGGAGGGTGACCAACCCCTTTTCGCTCTCCTTACCGACACTTCTGGCTGCCGCTTGATTCTCGTCGTCGAGAAACCTTCTTCCCTTTCAAGGGTGACCTCCTTTGCCGTCTCGACGTCTCGTCTCGTCTCGTCTCGTGGGGTGATCGTAGGTCTTGATCTTTCTATCCACGCGGAACACCGCGTCGAGGAAATGGCCGTCGTTTCCGTAACGATCGACCACGAACGTAACGTCTCGAGAAAGTTGCGGTTCGTTCGGACTCTATCGATGCTTGACGAGAATCGATTCGATGCACGCGCGACAAAACGTGCTAGAGAAAGCTTGCTTCTGGTGTTTCCCATCTCCGTCTCTTGTCGAAGGAAACGAGGAGGAGAAAAAGGAATGGAGAGGAAAAAGCTCCGCTCCTCGATCCCGAGGAACGACGAAGGTGTGGGACGCCGAAAAATGGAGCAGGAAAGGGAAAGGAAGAAAGAAAGAAAGAGGGGAGAGGGATATTCAGAGGATATTCCCAAGGGAAATTGAGATTTGATCCCGAAGGAGCGAGACGAGTCGAGCGAATTCGCACAGTTCGCGATGCGAACTCGGTGAAACGAGGGAGAAGACAGGCATCGTGGATTGGCACGCGTCGAATCGAAATTGCGCGGAGAATCGCAGACAAGAAATAGTTATCGATCGAGATCCTCAAAAATTCCTCCTCCTCTTGGGGAGTCGAGCTTCGATTCTTTCCAACTTGTTGTCCAATCTCGGCAGACAAAAATTAAGGGAAACTTTATCGATCGATTGCAACCGTCAGATCTATGGCGTTAACCGTTCCTTTAAGCTTTCCTCACGCTCTCGATACGCTTTCAAGGTATCCCTCAATGTCGTTCGTTTGTACGATCCTGTAATCCGTGGTTAACTGCAAGGATCCATTGTCGAGGATTATCCCACGCGACACGCTCGTCAAAGATCCAACTGGAGATCGGTTAATCCTGAAACGATCGGTTTCATTTGGTATTCAACGCGGGTCCGAGTTATAATCTTCGACTATGTTCGGTGCAAGGAGCAATAACAAAGCTCGAATATATATATCATCCCCAACGGAGAGGCCACACGGTTTTGGCATTCCGTCCTCGGCCATCGACTTGCGCCAGGGGTTGCGGCTAATGTCGTTGATATTCAAGACTCAAAGTGGCAGGGGTTGCGTTAATGTCACCGGGGGTTCGCTGTCCGAGACGTACGCACACACGCAGCCCGATATTATCCGATGTCTGGGTCCACAGAGGGGGTGGAGGGACGACGGAGGATCGTCGTGCCATCAACCCCAATCCACGATCCGATAACCAAAAGGGTTAGCCGTTACAACCGTTCCAGAGATCCTTACCTTACCCTACCTTACCTTGCCTTGGGTGGTCCGACGACGAGCCTGGATCCCTTCTTCTCCCTTCCGAAAAATGTCCCTTCTTCGGGGGTTGGGCCGATATCTCGTTGATAAACGAGTCGAGAGATTCGCTCGCTACTTTTCACCCCGATACGGTGGTAGCGACACGCTACCACTTTCGAGGGAAGGAAAAAACTCTGGATCGTTGGAGGATCGAGAAGAGTAACAACACGGACGGTTATTCGAGTTGGAACAGGTGACACAAGTAAATCGTTCGATGATGCCATACGATGATGTCTACCGAGGAATTAAATTTAATAGTGTCCTGGTGGATGAATGCCATCCGCTGCTCGTTGCGGCGGCGCCACAACCTTTGCCCTTGGCATTCATCGACCGATAACGAGCCTCCTTTCCCAACTTTCCTTTCCAACCTTGCGGCACGCGATCATCGCTCAAATCGATACTCATTACTCCCTATTTCGACACGAGTTTCGCGCAATAAGTGAAATTACGTAAAATCTGACGATGTATATTCATTCCTCGAAACTTGGACCTCTGAAAGGGAAGGGAAACGGTTATTGTCGACGCGATGATCGATCGAGACAAGTTCTTTTAAGATCCGCTCCTTTTAGGAGAAAAACTCGCTGCGGCGAATCCCTAAATTTCGAATAAAGGACCGAAAGAGGAAGATATAATACGTGTTTGTGTGTGTGTGCGTGCGCCTTCCATCTCGAATCTCGCGTCCAATACAATCGGTTCGTAACACGGTTAGAATCTAATTTCGCGAGTGGCAGTAATTTAAGCCCTGACGGTTGTTCGGAAGGGACGAATATCGGCTCGCAGAAATACGAGTGAAGGGAGGAGGAGGTGGTGAGAAACGGTACCTGGGACGGATGCTTTTCGGCTATCTCGAGCACTCGGCCGAGGGAAAGAGAAAGAGAGAGAGAGAGAGAGAATGGGCGACCTTCATCTCGGGGAAGACTTTAATAGGATGCCATTCCCCCGCTTCCGGACAATGCATACAATGTACAGACTGGAAATTCTGAGCTTGGCATTGTCGTTCGCAAAACTCCATTCTGCGCTTCGTGGAAATGGAGAATTGAAAATTTCCTAGATCTCGATTCGCTTTTTCGCTCTTTTGAATCCCGCAACGACCCGATTCGCGCTTAGAGGGATGAGAATTTTGCAAAAAGTTATTTTAAAGCTCGATTGAATTAAAAATTAAAACGATAGACGATAATTTTCTGGCCAACGAATGGGATCGTTTGAAATACTTTTTTGCCATTCTATAGTCTCGATTCTCAAGAAATCGTTTACGCTGTCTTACATCCATCCTCGTCGTTTATTCGAACCCCTCGCTCGCACGTCACCTCACTGACCCGTCTCCCCAACTCCGGACGAATGGAAGACCAACGTTCTAATTCTTGAAAGAACGTAGCGCGTAGTTTCCAAGGAAAAAAGATGTAGTAGGTCACTGGGTCGCGGGCCCATTCATAAATCTCTGCGCTACGGAAACTTTAAGTCTTTATATTTCGGTAACCGATTCACATATCGGAATGGAAAAAAAAAAAAAAGAAAATAACTTTCCTCTATTTTTTGTCTAACAATCATTCCAATCCCTTACATTATATTTTACGTATATATTCATGCTCATCATTCCACGCTTTTAACAACCCGCAAAATTGCGAATCCAAACACGGTATCGACCAGTTTCCAGAAAAAAAAAATCGAAAAGACTCGTTATCACCTACTAGCGCAAAGGCGCTGGTTTGCGTCTTTCTCGCGGGTTTCCCTCTCGCTGGTGAATGAAAACTGGTGGCGGAGGAACGTCCCCCCGTCGTTACATTGACCTCCCGCAGGCAAATTTCGGCTCTCCCGGCCATAAAGGTTCCTCCTTACCGGGCCATCGGGCGAAATAATGGCGTAATAAATCTAGAAAGTTTTCGCGGCGGGCCGAACTCTACCTCCGTCCCTCGAAACGGGGGGGAGAGAAGAGGAACGTCTCGCTTCATCGGATCCCTCTCCCCGATGGGAACACAACATCGCCCGTACCTCGCCGCTATCAAACAATCAATCTATTCCCGGTGCCGTGGGCGATTACGTTTGCAGTTAATAATTCAACCCGGGTGCCCGTTAATGAAACCTCGAAAAACGAGGGGAGGGGGTTTGAAAAACAGCGGTTAGAGAGCAAGAGAGATCGTCGTTCGTTCGTTTAACAACGGCGCGTTATTAAAATCGCCTCGATAATATCTGTGATATCAACATCCAAGATAAACTTGGATAGATATCTTGAAATTTCGATCGATAAGTGAAGTCGCGAGTCAAATAATTAGAGTCAATCAAGTATAATAGTTTCTGTTATTGGCGATAATAAATACTTACGAATTTTTCAAACTTAAATCGATCCAATATAACGTTTCATGGGGAAAATAAAAAGAAGAAGAAGAAGAAGAAAGTGATAAATCGTGGCCGACGTCGAGGTACACATATACGTGCGTGACTTTTTACAGGGCGCGTATAGTGGCACGAATCGAGGCAAGAATTCGAGTGCAAAAACCGGAGGACAAATCGATCGATCACCGTGAAAGAAGCAAATCTCCTCCTCGCATTCCGACTATTTCTCTATCGGGACACTCCCCTGCGGTCTTCTTCCTACGGGGTGAGCGCAGAACTGCTATGGAAACTAAGGAAAAAGCCGACAGTCCGGACAAAGACGCCGAGACAAAGGGAAGAGGGAGGGGGATGGAGGAAGAGGAGGAGGAGGAGAAGAAAGGGAAAGTAATAGAACCGACTGGGAAAACGCGTGTCTCGTGATAATACGTTTCTGCTCGGTCCTCCTCCAGTTCCTCGATAATTACGACGGAACGCCAACACGGGGAGAAACTCGAAATGGGCGGTATACCGCAGAGAAGAATATTTCTTTCATCAATTACGATCTTTCGTAAAACGCGCTCGAATTTTTCCGTGAATGAAATATGATCGAGATCGAATTGATCAAAAATAGAGATAATACGGTTAAACAAAAATTTCCCGTGGAAAATAAGTATTTAGGGAAGAAGAAGGGGGAGAAAAGATCGAAAGATTATCCATTCGGATAATCTACATTCCGAATCGAGTATAAGCGATCCGAGCGAAATGGAAAATCCTGTTACACGATCGAATAGGTTATGTACACTTGGGTCCCGGCGAAAAGAGAAGATCCGGAATACTCGGGAAACAATCGTGGCGAGTCATAGAGAGCAATCGTATCCGTGGAAAAGGGTATCGTGAACGGTCATCGAGCAAGCCAATGTCCCTTTCCCATTTCCATAACGGGATTTTATTTCCATTTTCTCGCTGGCGTAGGAAGATAGAGACTCGAAGAAGAGAACGCTTGAAGAAGAATAAAAAAAAAGGAGGAATTTACGCGTCTTCGAATCGAAATAGGAAAGAGTCTTCGATCCCTGGAATATG